CGCATGGCGTGCCTGCACCTTACGTCGCGTGCAGAATCGAAAAAAGATACGGTGCTTGTACCTTAAACGAGCTACAATGTGTATGGCGAGAAAGGGAACAGGCAACTCGTTTGTAACAGGTTGACTGCGATACGTGACGAAATATTCGCTTATTCACTTCTTGAGATCGATCAAGAAATAACAAAGTTCTATCCTGCTTGTAAAATTTGCTTTTCCTTCGTTTTGCAACATTTTCTGATCTTACTTCGATACTTTTAATTAAAATTCTTACGAGTATTGAAATTAAAAATTATCTTTCTGAAGATTGGTAAAATAATTGAAAAAGATACTTTCAAAAATTGTGAGATGTATATTTTTGATATCAATTTTTAATAATAAAATATATTCTCAATAAAAAATTTATTCGTTTCATAATAACAAAAATATAAGATATAATAATAATTTACTAAAAAATTCATGCAATTTAAAATTTATAATCTACATTAAATATTAAAGTTTTATTATTAAGAATAGAAAATGATCTACAATTTTTTTTTTGTTTAAGAATATTTATGTGATAAAAAATTTCTAAAAAATTTTCTAAATAATTAATATTTCAATTCTATTAAAAATATTATATATAGAGATCTCAAGAAGTAATTACAATTTTTTTTCATAATATTTCAAAGAAAAAGATCAATCAAATGAATGGAGTCAACCTGTTAAGTTGCACAACATGTTCGAAGGTGCAGACATTTCTGGTAGCATCCGCAAATTCATTCACGGTATCCAACCGTCTTGTATAAACGTGTTTATCACGTGACTTGCATTCAGTGTCTTTTCTTGGTGTCCGCGAATCCGAGCAACTCCTTCAATTATCCGAGTCATCATTACTGGAAAAAAAAAAAAAAACACAATGAGAACCACATCTTTACACCTCATTAAATTCTATGCATATGATATCTGCATTAAGTTTAAGCATCGATAAACTACATTGCTTTTCATGCTACTCTCCAAAAGGAAAAAAAGTCAACCTGTCGATGTGCAATATAGATTTAAATAAGACTTCTTTTAAATCATTTTTTATGACATATAAATAATAAATAATAATATTATATCTAACTTTAATCATTTTAAAACAAAAATAAGAAATCTTATCGAAAGTTTATCTTCTCATGAATCCCAATAATTTTTTTTTTTAACTATTTTGTAAACAATTAAAAAACTTTGTTGCATCTCGATAATTTTAAAAAGAAGTAAAGAAAAATTTTTAGAGATTAGATTAATTCTTTGTATTAAAATTAAATTAATTAATTTAACGATTGTTGTTATTATTATTTTTCTTATCACATACATCATAACAAAGAATTTAAAAAATTCATAAAGATGCACATCGACACCTCCGAGGAAAAAGTATAATAAAATAAAGAGAATAGAAAGAAATATATAAAAGAAAATCTAGAAAGCATACGCGACACAAATTAGACAGACACGAATCCTCCACGCTATTATTCAGCATCACGAACATAAAGGAAAAGTTTCTCGGCTTTGTGGACGCTACCGCTGCATAGAATGCTTTTGGGTCTACAATCTTCTCTTCGATAAATCAGGTGTAATCTACGTGGTGGACGAGTTGGATTACGAGCAGAAGAAGCAGTACGAGCTGACCGTCCGCGCGACGGACAGCGTATCAGGCGTCTACGCGGAGGTGCTCGTTAGCATTCTGGTACTGGACGTGAACGATTGCCCGCCCGAATTCACTCAAGACTCGTACAACATCTCGGTATCCGAGGCAGCGCCGTTCGGCACTTCCGTGTTGAGAGTCAGCTCCAGAGATAACGACACGGGTAAGTGGTTATTAAGTCCAGCTCCAATGTAGTAGAAATCCTGTTACATCCTTCCAATCTTTCTTCTTCGTATAAATCTTGTTTTCATCCTAAAAAGTTTGTTAAGTTGAAGAAAGATACGTGTAATTTCTTGATGTTAATTTTATATTAATTTTCTATTTTAAATTTTCTGTTATTCTTCTTTCATAATAATTCTAAAGATAGAATTATTTAGAATTCTAGAATTGAAAAGTGGAAAAAAAGTAATGATGTTCTAAAAATAAAAATTTTTGCAATAATTCAATTTTAATACTTGTTAAAATAATCAATTAATGAAATTTTTCTTGAAATTTTTTCGTTTATGTCATTTCCTATTCTAAACTTTTATTAAATCTAATATAGATTTTTTTAAATTCTCATTAATTTATAAAATATTAAGTTATCACACTATTTAATATTCAATTATATTTATAATTAATGTTCATTATTTCTACCAATTTGATTAATCTTAAATACAGTAAGATATATTCGAATATGAATTAAAGAAATCGGAATCGAATTCTTCACGAAACTCTGTTTAAATTTTGAATTACTATTAAAGAAAGATTCTAGAGATTCTAGCTCTCTGGCTATGCTCATAAATAACGAGAGACACTCTTGTTGCACCAAGATTAATGTTATTGTAATTATTGTGAAGGATACTCTTAGCGGGTACCAAAGTCGGATTATCGCGATGAAATATACCTTGAGCTATTGCATGATTGTACGAGAATACGAGAATGAAAAAGAAACGAGAAAAGGATGAATAGAAACTCGTGTTTCTCGTTTTTATCTAATAATTTTATCCAATGATTTTATAAAGATATATAAAGATAAAATGATTTTATCTAATAATTTATTGTTGGAAACAGTGAATAAAGTTGATATATAATTTTGATTAATTAAATAGAATAGAATGATAAAATCTTATATTTTCTATTTTAATTTCTCATTTTTGTAATTATAATTTATCCTGATTATAATTTAACAATTTGTCTTTCTAAAATATTAATTAATTAGATTTTATTAATATTTCTGAATACTATTCATTAATCTATAATGATGTATTACAAATTATTCCAACACAAGGAAATCATTAATCTCTCTCCTTTCTATTTAGACATAAATCAGCAAGTACGCTATGCGATTCAAAACGACACGGAAAACAGCACGGATCTGTTTCACATAGACCCGGAAGAAGGTGTGATCTTTTTGAAGAGATCTCTGGATCACGAAGCCCACGAGTCTCATCACTTCACCGTAATAGCCATAGATCGCGGCGTACCGAGTCTTTCGAGCACTGCCCACGTTTGGGTGACTGTGATCGATATGAACGACAACCCACCCAAGTTCGAGCAACCCTCGTACACCTGTTCACTGTCCGAACACGCGGAACGGGGTCAATTCGTGACTGTGGTATCCGCCAGTGATCCGGACTACGTTGATGAGAAACTAACGTACACGATAGTCGGTGGCAACGAGCAACAAACGTACAACATCGATCAATCAACTGGCATTATTTCGCTGATCAACATGCAGAACTTTGGAGAAAAAAAGTTGAGCATGCTAAATGTCTCTGTCACCGATAATGTCTATACGAGCTTCGCACGTGTCAAGATCGAGATACTACCTGCCAACAGACACAATCCTAAGTTTCCCAATCCGGTGGTCGAAGTAACGGTATTCGAGAATCAGTTGCCTGGTAGATTGGTCACTAGTGTGATAGCCACTGATGATGACTTCGGAGAATACGGAACGGTCATATACAGCATACCTTCTGAACTTATGAAAGAGATTTTCGATATAAATAGATTGACAGGAGAGATTGTAACTAGGAAGAAATTGAATCGGGAAGAGCAGAAATTGTATGAAATACCTGTGATGGCTACCGATGGAGGTGGTAGGTCAGGTTTCGTGATGGTTAGGGTTAAAGTTGGGGATGAGAACGACAATTCACCCGTGTTCCTTCTGAAGGAATATAAAGCTAGTATCCATGGGAATTTGACCATAAATACGTCATTCTTGAAAGTGAAGGCTAAGGATGCTGACGAGGATGACGCTGCGAGGATCGTTTACTCGATTTATGAACCACAGACTTCGGAAGCTAAGGCCTTATTCGGAATAAATCCTAATACTGGAGCTTTGTTCCTGCAGAAAAGTGCGATATCATGGGGTAAGAAGTTAAATTTATAAATTATATTATTATAGATATTGAAGTTTAATTCTATTGATGTATGTAGTTTTAGTTATATAATATTATATAATATTTAAATTAAAATATTTTATTATACTTAATTTTTCTTTGTATTTAATATTCCAGAAAATCAGTTATTTGAGCTCTTTATTCGTGCCGAAGACAAAGGTGGAGCTACAACTCATCACGCTGATGTTCCTCTCAGCATCTATATAATGGGTCCACAAGATATTCCACCTCTATTTGAACGAAAAGAGGACAAATTCTTCATATCTGAAGCATCTCCTGTCGGTACACCAATAACCAGGCTCAAAATCGTAACCAATAGCACAGTCACTTATAGAATAGTTTCTGGAGACGAAGATTCCCCGTATTTCATGATTGATGGTTATGGACAAATTACTTTAATCAAACCTTTGGACCGAGAGAACAAGGACAATCACTTGATCGGAGTTCTCGCCGAAACGGATTCCAGTCCTCCATTGACAGCTCTTGCAGAAATATCGCTTCAAGTGTTAGATGAAAATGATCATGCTCCTAAATTCGAAAGCAATCCTTATGGTATCAGCGTGGCGGAGAACGTAGAAGAAGGAACATCGATTTTGAAAATTATCGCGCACGATGATGATTTAGGTAGCAATGGAGAAGTTCGATATTCTTTCGGCTCGGATATAGGCGAATTGGCGAATGTATTCACGGTGGATGCATATACTGGCTGGATATCGACATTGGTTCAACTTGATAAAGAAAAACAACCCGAATATAAATTTCAAGTACGTTCAATTAAAAACTAATTGCAGTTGAATATTTAATAAGATAAATTTTTGATAATTTATTGATAATTCAAATTTTCTTTTTTCTCTTTCAATTCTTTTTCTTGTCATATAATTTTCATTATTCCATATGTTTTAATTTGAATAGTTCTTTATAATAAAATTTAGAAATTTATAAAATTTAATTATTAAATATAAATCTTCACTTTGTTTAGGTAGTCGCCACCGACAATGGAAATCCAAAACATTTCGCAAGAACTTCTGTGCACGTCAAATTGAAAGATTATAACGACAATCCTCCCGCGTTCGTAGATGATCGTTACGAAGCAACTGTAAACGAAGACGCACTACCAGGAACAGTCGTGGTCAAGTTGATCACCGTCGACAAGGATTCGGACGTGAACACACCTATAGAATTTTACATAACATCCGGTGATCCGAGATCTCAGTTTCAAATTAGATCGACTGGCGAGGTGTACGTGGCAAAATCTCTGGATCGGGAAACGATCGATCGTTATGAACTCGAAATAGTCGGCACCGATGGTAAATACGTTTTCAAAACGCGAGTAACGGTACAGATACTCGATGTAAACGACAATCCGCCATATTGTCTGAGGTATCGTTATAGAGAAATTCTATCCGAAGGTTCTCATCCAGGCACTTACGTATTAACCGTGCTCGCCACTGATTACGATGACGAACCAAACGCCAAATTGCGTTTCTATTTAACCGGCGACAACAACGACAAGTTCTCATTGGACAAGGAAACAGGCGTCTTGAAGACGATTGGTCAGTTGGATCGAGAGTCTCAAGCGAAGTATTCACTCACTGCTCATGTGCAGGATAGGGACAAGCCATCTTGGGAATGTTCATCTCAGTTAGAAATCTTGATCTCGGATTTGAACGATAACGCACCCAAATTCACCATGCAAACGTATAGTGCAACACTGCCGGAAGATGTAGAAGTTGGTACTTTGGTAACGAAAGTGCATGCCACGGATGATGATATCGGCATTAATCGCAAGATCAGATACGAGTTCATCGATTCCGCCGATGGCCATTTCCTCATCGCAACGGACAGCGGCATCGTTACGCTCGGCAAACCATTGGACAGAGAAACGAAGGCGATGTATAACGTGACTATCCAGGCATTGGATCAAGGAACCCCTCAATTGATGAGCATGACTTCGTTAATCGTCAACGTTCAAGATATCAATGATAATCCACCGGAATTTGCGTCCAAGATTTACTTCTCTAAAGTTCCTGAAATCTATGCGGTTGGCACGGAAGTGGCAAGAGTTCTCGCAACGTCTAAAGATACCGGGGTTAATGCCGATGTTTATTACTCAATCGTTGGCGGGAATGAACATAAAAAGTTCCAGATCGATGCGCGTACCGGTGTCATTATAATTGCGGAACAATTGGATTTTGAGCGTGCAAGAGATTATTTTTTGACTATTCAGGCTGTGGATGGAGGAATTCCGCCGTTGAGTAATCATGCCACTGTGAATATTACTGTGATTGATAGCAACGATAACGCGCCTATATTTAGTGAAGTTTCGTACAGAGCTTCTATAAGAGAGGACGCAAAGATTGGAGAGAAAGTTATACAGGCAAGTGAACTTTTATATTATAGTATACAATATTTTTTAAAAATTAAATTCCATACATTGTTACATTTCAAATGATTAATGTACAATTCTAATTCTATATTATAATTAACGTATCAGGTATTCGCAAATGACTTGGATAGCGAAGAAAATGGAAACGTATCTTATTATATAGAACGAGGTGACAGGCAAAAGCAATTCTCGATCGATCAGAAAACGGGACAAATTGTCGTTGCCGCTCCGTTGGATCGCGAAGAAGTCAGTATAAATCATATGCGCTAATTCATTATATATCTTAATACAGTTATAATACGTTCGCAATGTAATCTACAATGTAATATTTCATGTTTCAGATTGGTAATTACGTGCTAGAGGTTCACGCCCGTGATAGCGGCATACCCGTACTTTCCAGCTTCGTAATGGTAAACATCGAGGTTCTAGATGCAAATGACAATTCGCCGCTGTTCTCCCTTTCAAATTATACCGCAGTTGTACAAGAAGACAAGCCCTTGGGTCATACTGTATTACAATTCGTGGTCACAGACGCAGATATCGAGCCAAATGCCGCCCCATATACTTTTGATTTTCGATCTGGAAATGAAGGTGACGCGTTCAGATTGGAACAGGATGGAACATTACGAACTGCGACTAAATTCAACAATAGAGTGAAAGATAAATATGTGCTGCATATACGCGTCTTCGATAATGGAAGTCCACCTTTATATTCCGATGCTTGGGTCTTGATCAAAGTAATCGAGGAATCTCAATATCCTCCGGTAATTACGCCCCTAGAAGTGGTTATTAATTCGTACATGGATGAATATCCTGGTGGAATTATTGGAAAAGTTCATGCAACGGATCAGGATCAATATGACACTCTTTTGTACAATTTGAATCCATCGTCTCCTATTCCAAACGATCTTTTCCAAATTGACAAAATCGATGGCACTTTGGTAGCTCTTCCACGACTCGATGTCGGTGAATACAAAGTAAATGTCAGTGTAACAGATGGAAAATTTAGCATGCATTCAATAGTAAAAGTAAACGTTGATTTAATAACCGATAAAATGTTGGAGAATTCTGTAATTGTAAGATTCAGAGAGGTTAGCCCGGAAAATTTCATATTAAGCCATCGTAAAGGATTTATCAAGACTGTACGAAACGCGATGAATTGTAGATTAAAAGACATCGTTATTATAAGCGTTCAACCTTCTACGGATGAAATAAATTTAATTAAATCTCGCACTATTCGACAAACCGTACACAATGATCTGGATCTTTTATTCGCAGTAAAGAAAAGTTCTACACCTTTAGGATTTTACGCTTCTGAAAGTATACGGGAAGCATTGAATCAGCGTATCGAAGAACTGGAAGAATCGACGAAATTGGTAGTGGAAGAAATCGTCAGATTTAAATGCAACAAAGAGTACTGCGTTTATGGAGATTGTCAAGACAAAGTTGTTCTCGATGTTACACAAATAACACCTGTAGCTACTGATGTGATGAGTTTCGTTTCGCCGCGTCACAAACACAAGATGGAGTGTAGTTGTAAAGAAGGATATGCCGGCAATCATTGCGAGCTGGTCGTGAACGAATGTGCCAGAGATCCTTGTCCCATGTTTAAAGTTTGCATTCCTGATTCTTCTGTTCAAGGATATTTCTGCCAATGCCCAGAAGGCTTCGCTGGACAAACCTGTGATATTGACATCTCCAAGTGCCACGACGAATCTTGTTATATTCCACGGAATCCAATATCATTCAGTGGCAAGAGTTACGCTCGTTACAGAATCGACAAAGCCCACATCAGACAGACCATCGAGGATCGTCTTAGTTTATCTTTACGAATCAGAACGGTACAATTAACTGGAAATTTAATGTACGCAGCTGGCAAGGTCGATTACAATATTTTAGAAGTTATGAACGGAGTCGTACAATACAGATTCGATCTGGGTAGTGGAGAAGGTTTGGTTCGCGTGAGCAGTGTATACGTGAGTGACAGACAATGGCACGAAATCCAATTAGAACGGGAAAGTAACAGCGCTAAATTAACTGTAGATGGAAAACACGTAGCTCATGGATCGGCGCCCGGTATAAACGATATTCTAAATCTTCAATCCGATGATCTATATTTGGGCGCCGAAGTTAGGCAACATCCATCGATTCTGGGCTTTGAAGATGTTCAACGTGGTTTCATAGGGTGCATGGATGATGTCAGAATCGCCAGAGTATCGGTGCCACTGCACATGAGTGGAGCTAGTAGCGTTGCTGTTTTAAAACGCTTTGCAAATGTCGAATTTAGTTGCGACGCTTCTACAGTTCTCGTGTCCCCAGGAATTTGTGGTTCACAACCTTGTCAAAATGGTGGTACATGCAAGGATTCTGGTGGCGACAATTACGAATGCCAGTGTCACACCAGATTTAAAGGACATGCTTGCGAAATTGATACCGATCCTTGCGCATCTTCACCCTGTCTCTATGGTGGCCGTTGCAAAATCGTTCCGGAAGGAGGTGACTTTACTTGTGACTGTGTTGGACCAAGCTTAAGCGGAAAACGTTGCGAATTCGGGAGATATTGTAGTCCAAATCCCTGTATCCACGGTGGAGTATGCGAGGAAGGAAATAATGGACCTATATGCAAATGTCAAGGATTCATGGGCGATCGTTGCGAAACGGATATAAATGAATGCGACGCTAATCCATGCACGAACGGAGGTACTTGCGTGAATGAAATAGGAACCTACAGATGTATCTGTCCTCCCAATATGACAGGACTAAATTGTGGCAACCCGGCATATTCCACACCGATCATATCTAGCCATTTTAACATCACGTGGGAGCAGCTGATGTGGATTGGTATCGCAGTCGTACTGAACGTATTTCTGATCATTATATTCCTCACCTTCCGTCGAATCAGAATGAAACGGACGAGAGCACGAGCGAACAATATCAACAACGAGACCAGGAAACAAATCGTGTTAAACTCGGCACGACCTCACGAACACGAGTTCAAACGTAGCTCAAAATTGAGCAACTTGGAAGTGATACAGGTATAACGCATATTCGTTACGTGTTATTTCTTTGATTTGCCAGCATTTAAAAACAAATAATTGCATGCTTTTTGATTATTATATTTCGATTGATCGTAATGCCAGAGATAGAGAATTTGTCATTTTATTTATTTTTCTTTAACGCCGTTTTTCTTCTTAATTTGCCATCATCAGCTAGTATTCCCTTTCCTTGCGAGTGATGCGTGTATTGAGTTTAAGGTTTTTCGTGTGATTCTTTTTTGCAGAGAGAACCTCCCCAATGCCCTCCTAGACCCGCTTCCTACACTCCAAGCTCGAACAACGAGCCGGCCGCGTACGGTAACTCCGCAGCCGTGGCGTTAAATAATTTAGATACGTTGCGTAGTTACGGCAGCGCCGGTGACGAGTTGGAAAATTTCCCTCCTGATTATTTGAGAAATCTAAACCGCAGTACACCCGTGCCCCCTCCATCCTTAACCCTTGCTAATCCAGTCGGTGGAAACGCTACAGGCAGTGACACGGATAGCCTTCATAAGCCGAGCTGGCAAGAGCAGATGCAACTAGCTTCCTTCATCACGGACACGACAAAGATAAAGAATGGTGAGTAGTATGCGTCGCTAATTCCCCCGATTCATCGTAGCTTCTTACTTTTGTTTTTTGCTTGTGGCATGCATCATGGGTGGAATTTATAGCTTGATCCTTTACTCGATCTCTCTCTTTCTCTCTCTCTCTCTCTCTCTCTCTCTCTNCTTTTTCTTATCCTTCTCTGTGGCCCTTCATCGTTTNCTGTTTCTTCTTCGTTCTTTTCGTTCAATCATCGGACTTTTCTCACTTCCTTTATCGCCTTTTTCGTTATGATTTATATTTCTGTCTCTACTTCTCTATCTACTCCTCTACTTTTCCTCTTTTTAATACGAATGTCCGGAAACGTATGCTGACTTGGGCGTGTAGTGAATCGAATTAACATTGGTGTATCGTATTGTGTGCGCTAACAGACCTGAAACGAGCGAGCCCAGTGGTACCAGAGCTGACCACTGGAGGACTTCTACTAAATTCTTCTCGACGCGTGCCTCATGGAGGTGGGACCTCCGTTGCCTCCATGACGTCCATCGAGGATGATCCTCGTATAGTCGGTGGTAAGTCGAGATAGTAATGCCTGAAAGAAATGAAAGAAACGAATACGTAAGGATACATTTGATATTTGGGACGCTTCGCTTATCGCTATCTATCTCTCTATCGGCTAGACTTCTTTTTTTATCCTTTATTTACTACACGATACACTGCTTTTCTTTCTATTTTTCTTTCTCTTTTTCTCTCTTTTTTTCCTTTTCAACTCCGTATCGCGGCGCTAGATCGTCGCATGTAGCGTGTCGGAGTACAGTTGTTGTCTGCAATGCTTTTAGGGTATCACTGGGATTGTTCAGACTGGGTCAGACCAAGCCAAAACCCCTTGCCTAATATCACGGAGGTGCCTGGAAGCGAAGTACCAGACTCGTCCAGCTTCCACAGCAATGAGAGTAACGAATCAAACACTCATCAGTTACCGTCAGGTGAGTATGCGACTGCATGCTCGCAGTACGTTGCTTTCTTTCGTAGCTATTAGAATAAATTATTGTTCACACGGAACGGTCTTTAACTCATTTACGTTTATAGAGATTTTTAAAATAATTTTAGAGGAAGGTATCGAATCTTGTTTTCCTTCGAGTATTTTATATTATTTTATATAAATAATAACAATAATAAGGGATGCATGCGAAGTACTAAGGTAGACTCGATGGTTCGCATTTTAAGTTTAACGTATTATTTTAATATTGATTTGACAGAATATGAAATTAGTGATCTAGCAACACTAAAAATGATAAATTTTTTCATACAACTTTTTTTTTTTTTTTTTTACAAAAAAAAA